GTTTGCAGCATCTAGGTACGGCAATGCCGTAAAGTGTTGTGTGTGCGGCAGTTCAATAAAACGCCTTAAACGAAGCAACGCGCGGTGGTCTTTGAGTCCTGCACAAACATAATAGGAAACTATGGAAAAAATACATTCAGGAGTACCTTGCTGCTGGCATCATTCAATCCTCTTCTTCACCCCTTGGGGCAGGCTTCTTTTTTGTGGGTAAGAAGGATGGTTCTCTTAGTCCCTGCATTGACTACAGTGGTCTGAGCCAAATAACTGTTAAGAATAAGTACCCTTTGCCTCTCTTGTCCTTTGCTTTTGAGCCTGTCCAGGGAGCTACAGTGTTTACTAAACTGGATTTAAGAAACGCTTATCATGTTTTCCGTATAAAAGAGGGGGATGAATGGAAGACCGCCGTTAAGACCCCTCTAGGACACTTTGAATATTTGCTAATGCCTTTTGGTTTGACTAACGCCCTTGCTTGTTTCCAGGCCCTGGTTAATGACGTGTTGAGAGACTTCCTCAATATCTTTGTTTTTGTTTACATTAATGACATTTTGAAATTTTCCAAGAACTTGTCAGAGCACAGAATCCATGTTTGTCAAATTCTTCAGCACCTCCTGGAAAACAAGCTTTTTGTCAAGGCCGAGAAGTGTGAATTCCACAAACCATCTGTCTCGTTCTTGGGCTTCATCCTAGAGGGCGGACAGGTAAGACCCACAGAGGAGAAAATCAAGGCAGTTTTGGAATGGCCCACTCCTGAGTCAAGAAAGCAATTACAGAAATTTCTGGGTTTTGCTAATTTCTATTGGCGCTTCATCCGCAATTACAGTCAAACAGCTCTACCTCTAACTGCTCTAAAATCCATCAAGACCCCCTTTATCTGGACTCCTGAGACTGATGAAGCTTTCAACAAGTTGAAGAACCTGTTTGCCAACGCTCCAGTGCTCATTCAACCTGATCTCACCAAGCAGTTAATTTTAGAGGTGGACGCCTCTGATTCGGGAGTTGGAGCCGTGGTCTCTCAGATTTCAGATTCTGATCTAAAGATTCACCCATGTGTCTTTTATTCCTGCAGACTGTCACCTGCTGAAAGGAATTATGACGTTGGGGACCGAGAGCTGCTAGCCATAAAACTAGCCCTAGAGGAGTGGAGGCACTGGCTAGTGGGCGCAGCTCATCCTGTAGTGGTTTGGACCGACCACAAGAATCTGTAATATATTCAGTCTGCTAAAAGGCTTAACCCTCGTCAATCCCGATGGTCTCAGTTTTTCTCTAGATTCAACCTCTCTATTTCCTCCCGTCCAGGGTCTAGAAACATTCAGCCTGACTCCCTATCAAGACAGTTCGCCCCAAACGACTCAGAGAAAACTCCTGCTTCTATTCTCCCTCCTAGCTGCTCTGTTGCTGCTGTTACTTGGGAGATTGAGGACCTTGCTAAACAAGCTCAGCAGTCTGAGCCTGATCCCGGGACTGGTCCTCCCAACAGGATTTTTGTACCCTCTGCCATTTGTGCCCGAGGTAATAATTGGCTACACTCTTCTAAGTTTTCTGCTAATACAGGTGTCAGTAGGACTTCGGCTCTGATCAATCGACATTTCTGGTGGCCTCCTGTTCAGAAGGATGTGAAAGAGTTTGTCTTAGCCTTCCCGACTTGTGCTCATAACAAGTCCTCTCATCTGCCTCCAGCTGGGCTACTTCAGCCATTACCGATTCACCCACAGTTTAACGGACAGGTCAAACGCATGAACCAGGAGTTGGAAGCCATTTTCAGATGCCTTACTGCAGCTAACCCTGGTGATTGGAGCCTATATGTACCCTGGGTTGAGTATTCCCACAATTCCCACACCTCTTCTGCCATTGGTATGTCCCTTTTTGAGGTCTCATTGGGGTACCAGCCTCCCCTGAGGAGGAAGACATTGCCGTTTCATCTGTTCACCACCATATTCCCCGCTGCAAGGCAGTCTGGGACAGGACTGCAGTGGCTCTCAGTTGAACTGCTGCACAGAACCGTCTTTGGGCTGACTGCAGGAGGAGGGTCGCTCCTATGTTCACCCCGGGTCAAAAGGTTTGGCTGTTTACAAGAGAC